TTTTTTTCTCATTGCGGGACGTTTAGGACTAGGAAGAAAAGTTTGTTTAGAACTGCCTGGAGGCAAAATTGCACGTGGGACCTCCAACAGTCCTTGACGCGCAGAAATGCGAGCACTCCTAGAACTATGCAGTTAGATTTCATCTTTCTGCAAGATCAACGGAATGCAGAGCTGGTGGAGGCTCCTGCAATGCCGGAAGATGATGTTGATGTGAGTGCCCGAAAAAGTTTGTTGGAAATCGACCCTTTGGACCCTTTGGACCTTGAAGGCTCATTGTTATGCTCCACCAAAGCGCTGGAGATAACAGTTTTGAGCACAGCCATCGTTGACCGAGAGAAGTTCTTCAGATCTGAAGCTCCATTGTCTGATCATTTCGGACTGCGGACTGAAATCGAGCTTTCCGGCTGACGAAATTGAGCTAATTCTCGATCCATCCTGCGCCGTGGCACAAACACTCATGATTCTCATGATATGTCCACGCGTGCCAGGAAAACATAGGAAAACACATGAAAACACTATTTGAGTCAGTTGTACAGTTTCATAGTTTGGGTCAAAACCACTCAACATCTATTTTTTCATATTTTGGGGGGAATAACTATTAACCAGCTATTTTCGGGTACCTCAGGTACTAAGGTTTTGACCCGTCATAGCCAGTTGTTTTATTTCCCTCGCTTGTGGAAAATGGCACAAGCGACCATGATCCCGCACTTCCGCTGGGTCTTGGGCCTAGATATTGACCGCAACATGAGTTTCTACTCTGGCGTCTATAAGAATGAGTTCCTGTAGCCTGGCCCAATATTCTGGCGGAAATGCAATAAATACTGCCCTTTTCCAAAGAAATTCAGTGCATTCCCCGCAGGCAAGAGTTGCGACATCACAACTTGCTGGGACTCAGAGAAATACCAGCACGGCCCGGGCCAATTCTCTTGACGCTATCTTCATCCACTTTCTGCGATCAAAATTCTGAATAAGATCATGTGGTTTCGTCTGAAAATAGGGCACCCCAGAATCCCGTGCTTCATGATGAGGTCCCATCAGAATCATTCAAAACCTCCATTTTGGGGTATCCTCAAAACAAATGACAAACCCACGTGTACTAGCCAGGGTCTCAACACGCTGAGCCATCCTTTTTGCTTCGGAGTTCCCCCGGTCGCAAGTCAGTCGCAAGAGACCCTAGGGCTGGCCATGGTGGAGATGCTCCTTTTCCATTCCGGAGAAGTGTCAATACCAAGCCACGCAGAAAGCAGTGACCAGCTTTGCAAGGTTTCTATGGGACCCCAAACAGTATTTGCTTGATCTTTCTACCACATGCAACATTTAATACCATTCAACTACATACGGATAGATAGATGGATGAATGGATGGATGGATGAAGAGATATATAGATAGATACATAGATTAGATAGATTAGATAGATGAGATAGATTAGATAGTCTAGATAGATAGAAAGATAGACAGATAGACAGATAGACGGATAGACAGACAGACAGATAGGTAGATAGACAGATAGATAGATAGACAGACAGATAGATAGACAGACAGATAGATAGACAGACAGACAGATAGATAAACAGATAGATAGATAGACAGACAGATAGATATAGACAGATAGATAGTTAGATAGTGAGATAGATAGATAGGTAGACACACAGATAGATTGATAGACAGATAGATAGATAGATAGATAGACAGACAGATAGATAGAAAAAAAGATAGATAGATGGACCGATAGATAGATAGAGACATAGAAAGACAGATAGATAGACAGACAGAGAGACAGATAGATAGACAGATAGATAGACAGACAGACAGATAGGTAGATAGACAGATAGATAGACAGACAGATAGATAGACAGACAGATCGATAGATAGATAGACAGATAGATAGACAGATAGATAGGTAGACAGACAGATAGATAGACAGACAGATAGATAGACAGACAGATGGGTAGACAGACAGACAGACAGATAGATAGATAGATAGATAGATAGACAGATAGATAGATAGTTAAATAGATAGATAGATAGACAGACAGATAGATAGATAGATAGGTAGACAGACAGAGAGATAGATAGATAGATAGATAGATAGATAGATAGATAGATAGATAGATAGATAGATAGATAGATAGATAGATAGATTAGATAGATAGATAGATAGATAGATAGAAAGATCGATAGATAGATAGATAGAGAGATAGATAGATTAGATAGATTAGATAGATAGATAGATAGATAGATAGATAGATAGATAGATAGATAGATAGATAGACAGATAGATAGATAGATAGATAGATAGAGAGATAGACAGATAGATAAATAAATAGATAAACAGATAGAAAGACAAATAGATAGATAGACAAATAGGTAGATACATAGATAGATCGATAAATAAACAAAAAACAATAGATAGATAGATAGATAGATAGATAGATAGTTAGATAGATAGATGGATAGATAGACAGGCAGACAGATATAGATAGACAGATAGATAGATAGACAGATAGGTAGATAGACAGAAAGATAGATGGACAGACAGATAGATAGATAGGTAGACAGACAGATAGATAGATAGATAGATAGATAGACGGACAAAAAGGTAGATAGACAGACAGACAGACAGACAGACAGATAGATAGATAGATGGATAGATAGGTAGACAGATAGATAGACAGACAGATAGGTAGACAGACAGATAGATATAGATAGACAGATATATAGATAGATAGTTAGATAGATAGATAGGTAGACAGACAGACGGATAGATGGATAGACAGACAGACAGACAGACGGACGGAGGGACAGATAGATAGATAGATAGATAGATAGACAGACAGATAGATAGACAGACAGATAGATAGATAGACAGACAGACAGATAGATAAACAGATAGATAGATAGATAGACAGACAGATAGATATAGACAGATAGATAGTTAGATAGTGAGATAGATAGATAGGTAGACACACAGATAGATTGATAGACAGATAGATAGATAGATAGATAGACAGACAGATAGATAGAAAAAAAGATAGATAGATGGACCGATAGATAGATAGAGACATAGAAACACAGATAGATAGACAGACAGAGAGACAGATAGATAGACAGATAGATAGACAGACAGACAGATAGGTAGATAGACAGATAGATAGACAGACAGATAGATAGACAGACAGATCGATAGATAGATAGACAGATAGATAGATAGACAGATAGATAGGTAGACAGACAGATAGATAGACAGACAGATAGATAGACAGACAGATGGGTAGACAGACAGACAGACAGACAGATAGATAGATAGATAGACAGATAGATAGATAGTTAAATAGATAGATAGATAGACAGACAGATAGATAGATAGATAGGTAGACAGACAGATAGATAGATAGATTAGATAGGTAGACAGACAGACAGATAGATAGACAGACAGATAGATATAGATAGACAGACAGATAGGTAGACAGACAGATAGATATAGATAGACAGATTTAGAGATAGATAGTTAGATAGATAGATAGGTAGACAGATAGATAGGTAGACAGATAGATAGATAGACAGACAGACAGATAGATAGATAGATAGATAGATATCAGATAGATAGAAAGATAGATAGACAGACAGACAGATAGATAGACATATAGATATAGATAGGCAGACAGATAGGTAGACAGACAGACAGATAGATAGACAGACAGATAGATATAGATAGACAGACAGATAGGTAGACAGACAGATAGATATAGATAGACAGATTTAGAGATAGATAGTTAGATAGATAGATAGGTAGACAGATAGATAGGTAGACAGATAGATAGATAGACAGACAGACAGATAGGTCGACAGACAGATAGAAATAGATAGACAGACAGACAGATAGGTAGACAGACAGATAAATATAGATAGACAGATTTATAGATAGATAGTTAGATAGATAGATAGATAGGTAGACAGATAGATAAATAGTTAGATAGATAGATAGATAGGTAGACAGATAGATAGATAGACAGACAGACAGATAGGTAGACAGACAGATAGATATAGATAGACAGACAGACAGATAGGTAGACAGACAGATAGATAGATGTATAATATAATGCAGCATAATATTGATGCCATGGATTCCACTGAAGCAAGGCCCGGTCTTGTCTTTCGTCTTGGTTCTGAGCTCCAGCAATTGATTCGCAAGCCCTCAGAGGATGAAACCTCGATGGCATAGGGTCTCGAGGCAACTTGCAGTGTAAAAAAATCACTGGTTAAACTTTGGCATTGGGGCTGGGATCTAGTGACTCTAGTGGGATTTAACTGATTTAACCATCAAACATGATGACAAAGGTTCATTCAAACATCGAACATCAGGATTTTATGGGATTTGATGAGGTTGAATGGGACATAACCATGAATCAAGAATTTAGGGATAGACTGAGATTTGTACAATGGGATTTAGGGATTTAAGCAATGGGGGTAGATATGTATATGCACAAATCAACCAGATGGGGGACAAGGTGGAATATGGGGTTGTCTGAAGATTATGGGAGCCCCTTAACAATCTCATGGTTTGTCATTATTTCCTTCGACACTGGTGGTGAGTACCTCATATTTTTAGACGAAACCATCTGCTGAAACATTATGTGTCATCCAGGTTATCCAGTTTTGCGGAAGGTCTCGTGTTCATTGCATTTAGGATTTTCAATGGAAGGTGTGGTGTTGCTATGCGTTTCCACTTAAGCTTGGGAGAGATGACTATGATATTTGTCGTTTGATGCGGCTGTCTCCACCAGCCGGTTTCTTCTCCCCCTTGCGCTTTACGACTTACCGACATAGAACCAAGGGCAGTTTACGAGTATATGATATGGAGGTTTCCTAAAATTGGGGGTACCCCAAATCATCCAAAATTAGACTAGTTTAGTATTGAAACCTATGTTTGTTTGGGATCCAGCATTTTAAGTTCAACCCCCATCTAGCACCAAATCACACCTGGCACTTCTCTTCTGGAGGCCAGCCATCCTTCTCTGCTGGCGGGTCTTGAGCTCTTGCAGCTCTGGGATGAGGCCTGGATCATCCTGGATCTGGGGGGATGGTTATGGCCAACACCAACCTTCATGGGGATTTCATAAGGGGGTTATGGTTATGGGATGTAGGTTACCCAACCAGAAACAAAATTTTTGGGTAATGAAAATGGAGATAGACCATGATAGACCTACAAAAATGGCCATCAAATAAAACGAAAAATCTTGGAACACGAGTTTTGTCTGGAAAATCCGGATGGAGCATGATGGAACTGGCTACTGGCTGCCAGACCAGATTTTGCTGACAAACTCATGACATCCCATGTCACACCTGACATCCCATAACTCCTGGCGTTTGTGAAAAATCTTGTGCCATTGATGACTTGAAACTGACAGACTCAAATCCTCACAGACTTGCAACATCAGTCCAGGCAAAATCATCATGTCACTTAAACTGAAGTCTCCGAAACGGCTGTTTTTTCCCAAAGATTGAAAAACATGGTGCATCTTGAACCCACACACACAGACACACACACAGACACTCAATTGCTCTAATGCAGGTCACCATCTTGGCTTGTCTGGCTTGTTTGAAGCCCATGGCAGGGGTGGGGATTTGCAACAACAAAAGCCTCTAAGTTATGTGCCACAGCCGGTGAGAAGCATCCCATACCTGCCATAGCATCGGGTTAAGATATGCTGAAATTGGGTATCCCCAAACAACATATATGGTATATGAATAGATGTAAACAGTAAGAAGGACTAGAACTTGTGGTCCATATAGTTGTCTAGACTTCACGTGCTGGATGTTGCCAGGCCAAACGTCAGCCTGACAGTGAAGAATTAAGGACCGGATAGACCTGTAGCAATGTTGGGGTGTTGGGCTGCCACCTGGAGGGCTGAACCGCCGACCATAGTTACTGATGCAAAGACATGGCCCAACATCGTAGCATTTTGATGATTTTCTCCAGTGCTCATGATGGCGGCAATGTAGATGGCAGATTTATGCAGATTTCATGTTTGTATATGGTTGCCCACTGACTGAATCCAATTTTCAGACCATGGCCTGTTCCTTGATGTTCCTTGTTCTCAACATGGATTTGTGTCTCAAAACCACTTTAAGATTCTGCCGACAATCTTTCGCCATAAAATGGATGTAAAGTCCACATTTATGGGACCAAGTCGCATTGTGAAATGCACTGAAACAGCGGACAGGAGAGCTGTACGCGGTTTCAACTCATTTCACAGAGAGTGCTTTCGAGCAGGTTGGTGGCCCAGTTGTCCAGTGACTCATATGGACAGCCGTTGTCAAACTAGCTTCACGAGTACTTTAGACTTCCATTTTTGCTGCTACAAAGCAACAGAAGGACGCTAGAATGGAAGCATGATAGGTATGAAACTTCATATTCATACCAATTTGATTCATCTTGACTATTGAGGCCACAAAGATCCACAAACATTCCACCTCACCAGGTCTAGCCTATGTCATAGACCCTGCCTCTGAGAAATGGCGATCGCAGCAGGCTCAACACAAGGGTCCAAAGCAGGTCTCGGGTCATTCATAACAAGGACGAATAGCCATAAAATCACGAGGGCTTCCATTTGGTGGGCACAAGCAAATCCTTGAGCTCACATGTCCGATGTTCCCAAGTTGCTGCAACTACTCCAAGGGAGTCGCTGATTTTATTGTCCAACCTTTGGGGAAAGTTGTTACACAGCCGCGCGACAAAAAAAATCCCACCTCGGATTCTGGTCATCTGTTCTTGGGCTTGGTGGCTTGAGGTGTAAACCCTTTGGCAGAGATAAAGAGCTGTGCCTTGACAAAACATCTCCGTGGGTCCGTGGGGATGCATGTGGTGGCCATAAAGTATCGCATTTCCATGTCCACTGCTGAAATGTAGATGGTCCCAGAGTTTTGGGAGTTTGGAAGTTAGTATTTCTGTTTGTCCCCTACTGAATTGGAGGGCCATTTATTTAGGGATTTTTTTTTTTAGTTTAGGGATTTTTTTTTGGATTTCTTCCTGCTTACTCTATTGCCTCCTGCAGTGCTTCTCTGCTTCTTTGCTTCTATTCCTTTTTTTGTTTTTTTTGCTTTTCTTTGCTTTTTTGCTTTTTTGCTTCTTGCTTTTCTTTGCTTTTTTGCTTTTTTGCTTTTTTGCTTTTTTGCTTTTCTCGCTTTTCTGCTTTTCTTTGCTTTTTTGCTTTTCTTGCTTTTGCTTTTTTGCTTTTTTGCTTTTTTGCTTTCCTTGCTTTTCTTTGCTTTTTTGCTTTTCTCGCTTTTCTGCTTTTCTTTGCTTTTTTGCTTTTCTTGCTTTTCTTTGCTTTTTTGCTTTTTTGCTTTTCTTTGCTTTTTTGCTTTTCCATGAGGTGTGGAGCAACATCTTCTATCCATCTATCTATCCATCTATATCCATCTATATCTATCTATATCTACGTATCTATATCTATCTATGTCTATCTATATCTGTATCTATATCTACATCTATGGCTGTATCTATATATCTATATACCTATATATATATATCATATATCTATATAATTATCTATATATCTATATATCTATATATATATATATCTATATATATATATCTATATATATATCTATATATCTATATATATCTCTATATATCTCTATATATATCTATATCTAGATATCTATATACATATATATCTATCTATCTAGATATCTATATACATATATATCTATCTATCTATCTATATATCTATCTACCTATCTATCTATCTATCTAATTATCTATCTATCTATCTATCTATCTATCTATACATATCTATCTATATATCTATATATCTATATCTCTCTCTATATATATACTATATATCTATATATCTATATATATATATCTCTATATATCTATATCTCTCTCTCTCTCTATATATATATATATATTTATATACCACCATATATCTATATATCTGTATATATCTATCTCTATTTCTATATGTATATATACATATATCTTTATATCTATATATCTTTAAATATATATATATCTATTTATCTATATATCTATATCTATATATATATCTGTATATATATATATCTACCTAAAAGGTTTGCATTATCATGCGGATGATATTCAAACCCCAAGCCAACCCTGAACCAAACCTTATATAAATAGATCTTAAACCAACTCGATGATAACATCAAATGAAACTATTGTGCATCGTTGTGCCTTAACCTACATTCCACATGTTTCCAAGGTGCATGTCGTGTAGTATATACACCTTGAGTATCACATTCAACCTAGCACCTTGCATGTGAAAATAGGTGTTTCCAATCTGCTTTGGGGGGGAGGCGCTGCGCCCTCCCCCCAATCCCCCCCTCCCGTTTTTTTTAATTTAAATTCAAGCTTGCACACATTTCAATACACTACTTTGGTTAGAATATATATATATATACATTGTATATATATATATATTGTATATATATATATTGTATATATATATATATATTGTATATATATATATATTGTATATATATATATTGTATATATATATATATTTATATATTGTATATATATATATTGTATATATATATATATTGTATATATATATATATTGTATATATATAACAACACTAACAACACTAACAACACTAACACTAGCAACACTAACAACACTAACAACACTAACGGTAACAACAACAACAACACCAACAACAACACCACCAACACCAACACCAACAACAGTAACAGTAACAACAAACAACTGTTGGAATGTCAGCCTTCAGCTCCAAAATCCTGCAAGTACTGTGAGGAATGTAGCTGTAAAGTGTTGCACATACGGTGGAAATGCAGATTCCAGCTCAAAAATGCTGCAAAGAGCATGGAAAATGGACAGAACATGCTGCAAACTGTTGCAAATACCGTGGAAAATACAATGGAAAATGAGAGGTTCGAACTCAAAACCGTTGCACATACCGTGGAAATGGCAGTTTCCAGCTCCAAAATGCTGCAAATAGCATGGAAAATGGTGAGAACCGGAAATCCAAAAAAAATCCCCAAACTAAAAAAAAAAATCCCCAAACAATTTCCTACCCAAATGAATTTGACACCACAAGGTTCAGCTTTGGATTATATAATTTGTTTAGCTGCCATCATTGAAAAGCAAACCACTTGAGAGAGAGAATAGTATGAGCTTAGCATGATGCATCAGTTGTTTCAATGTTTCTACCATGAGCAATGTTGATTTTAAGGTTGCCTATGATTTGAAAAATATCAGGGTATTGTGTTGGAGGTTTCATAAACCTCAACCTTGCAGCAACAAATGCACCACTTAAACGGCACATCTATTGAGGCCAAACTTTCTGAAAGTTGATCCTTGGCATCAGCGCTTCCGCGTGGCTTCACCATGGATTGATTTCCGGACCTGAAGAGGGGATGAAGTCTTTTCGCTAAAAAAAACAGAGTGCAGTTTGTAAACTTAAACCGCAAAGCCGCAAAGATCCGTAGTATTGCATGTAAAAATACCTTGAAGCAGATTCCTGCTTGGTACTCTGCCCAAATAGACTTTCTGAACTTGGTCCGAATTTAAATATACCCTGGAGGGTCAGTACAGTTGTGAGAATTCCTGCCGGCATGGCTCTTTAATTGTTTTCGCTCCACCAGCCTAAGGACTGCCTCTGTGTGAGGGCCTTCAATCCTTTTTACCCGCCCAGGCAGAGCGCAAGCAATCGAAATGGCAAGACAAAGCTCCAACGCAGTGGATCCATTGTAATGCAGCACTGGCACTGGCAGCACAAGTATCATCAATTATCTATGTTCGTCCCTGATATGGTTTATATATGTTTATATAATAGTCATAATAGAAATATTGCCAGCTATAGAAATACAGATTTAAGCTAAACATACTTTTTGGATCTTTGGTATCTTTCTATATGAACATGAATGTTTTAAACGTATAAAACACATGCAACAAAACACACCAGTTGACTATCTTTAGCTTTGCTTCCCCAGTCGACTCTATCTTTAGCTTTGCTCTGCCAGTCGCCAGGGAAGAAGATCGAGCAGCGCTGGCCAAAGAGCGTGCTGCACAATTGAGCGCCTCGACGTCATGTCCTAGGGCTTTGGGGTATCCAGTCTCCAAAAATATCCACATTTTTAGCTCGTAATGGCAAGACTATGCAAAATTAATATGTTTTCCCCAGTTGTTTCTTATTGTTTCACCACGTGAACATCATCACGTGGGTTCTGGATGTTCTATGAATGAAGATAGCTCACTTGAGGCTGAATCCTTGAGGACCCAAACTTTCCCCCATTTCCCTCAGATCGGCTACGTCCAATCCCAGAGCTGCAACGGCGCTTGTGGCAGCTTCCCAGAGGACAGCGCTGAGCCACTGAGATCCACTGAGAGTGTCTAGTTTCTAAACCAAATGTTTGGAAGATTATGGTATTAAAATGTAGTAAAGATTCTGGTCATCTAATAGCATTAGTATAAACCCAGTTTGCATCCATCTATTCAATCTATTCAATAGGCTAGCAGCGGTCCAGGAACTGTTTCGGTGCACATCCGGCGCACGGACCATGCCAAGGCAGGCACCCTGTTCGCTGGTCCCTGTGGGGATAGGAGAAATCAGCCCACCATTGATCCTTTCGGTTTTCGTTGGTGATATTTTAAGTTTGGCAGGTTTAAATGCCAAGAATGGGAAGACAAGCCATGACAAGCCTGTATGGACAGGGATGACAGGGCTAGATTTCCGATGAGGCAAATGTTAAGTCCAAAAGATGATGCTACTTTTGATCCTTTAGAGTTTTGTTTCAGATGGTTCTCAGATGGTTCTCAGATGGTTCTCAGATGGTTTAAGGAATGTTTAAAGGAAACCCTGGTTTTGAAATTGTTTTGAACTTGAATTGGGATCAAAGTTTGATCCATGCTGCTGTGTTCGGATCAGGCGATTGCTCGCTCACCAGAGGAGAAGGGTTTGGAACCTCGTGGGCAAACCCCGTCGCTTTCACCGAAATCTACTTTCAACATCTTTCAACCAGATCATTGGCAGGAACTTTTTTGGCACACCATGGAGAGCTACCCTCAGGACCCGAAACTTGAGATCTGCCGTTTACGGAACTCGTTTGAGTTTGAGATTGGCTTTGCACCCAACATTTGTAGATTCGAACATCGCGGAGCATCGATCTTGGATTTTGGATTGCAGACGCACCGGTGCAGTGTTTGTTGATTTTGTTGGAGAATTGATGTGCATAACTTGTAGGAAGAGTCGATGACATTAAATGACTGGTGAAGCGGTTCCAAATCTATGTCTGAAGTGACTAGTCACACCATCAACCAGTGGCATCAGCGAGGATGTGTCTTTCTTCTTGGCCACAGATGATCCTGATGTTGAAGAACGAATGAAGTCCCGTCGCTTGGGCAAGCCGAGGTTTTCGTGGGTCTGGAAGGTGATTTTCCCATTGATTTTGTTACCATTTTTGCAATCCATGTTCATTTTAGCGGGTGTACAAGAATGGGAATGTTAATTTTCAACCAACCAAAAAACGGTCATGCGTCAACAAGACAGGAGAATTTATGCAATCTGGAATGATGCACATTTAGATTTGGGCATGTCCCAAAAATTACAGCCGCAAATCTGCAGTGGTTGCCCCCTGCCAACTAAGGCTTTGGTAGCCGCTTGTTGACTGCACCGAAGAACCTCAATCGAAACTCTCCTACAGGAAGCTGGGATTGATATGCACAAGAGACAGCTGGCTTCATCGCAAGTGAAGATCCTCAACGGTAAGATCCCGGATAAATGGAGGATTTTCCAGCGCACCATGTGTGAAAAAACCAGAGGGTAGCTGTCTGACCGTCCAGGAATCCAAGATGCCCTCATCGACTTGCTGCTCTTGTCACAAGGAATTGAGGTGAAGTCTGCTGTCGTTGGGAGGGATATACAACTGTCCGGCTATTGGGAAGCCCCATCCCTCAAGGAAGGTCCTGCAACGGACAGGTACCCTACATCGTGACACGGGAGAGTGCACACAGAGAGAAAGAGAGAGAGAGAGAGAGTGCATGCTCAACTTTGGCAAGACTGTAGCCAACCTGTAGGAAATTGAACTAGTCACATGATTGAACTTCTTCGATTTTGATCCTTCCTCTTCATCCAATTTTTTTTGCGTGGCAAGTCTTCCCCTTTTTTGTTCGTTCGACATGTCTCTATTTTTTTGCTGAAATGTCAATCACCGAAGAACCAGTCAATGGAGGTTCTTGGCTCCTTCAAGAGTTCCTTCTCGGCGATGGCGTCACATTTCCACATGGTACCGTGCTACTGGCGAAGTGTTCGCCAACCTCAACCACCTATTTGCATCTATTTGCATCCATTTGCACACTTCTGGGAAGACATTTCGACCAGCCACCTGCATATCCCCAAACAGCGTGTGCACACTAAGGGCTTCTTAGGGTTAGCCAGGTTTTATGGATGAGCCGGGTATAGATTAGAATTGAATAGGTTAGATTAGCTCAGATTAGATGGACAGACAGACAGCCAGAATATATCGATGGATAGAAGTTTTAAATAAATTTAATATAGTTTATAGTTTATTTTATATTATATTTACAAATGTACAGATGTGGGCGCCGGTGAGCCAACATTTTTGGGCGCGGATGACCCGTGCCAGGCTCCGCACGATGGACGTTTCCCCTACACCGGTGGCGACCCGAGATTGCTGAGTCATTGAAGTTGAGCGATGAAAAGTGGGGACTGACCCCGTGGAAAACCACTGGTTTCCCTAGGAAAATGATATAGAAATGGGTGGATGTCCACATCTATGTTAGTTTACAGGAGGATAACCAGCAGACATGGCGACTTCAGCAGAAATGGCATTGAACCACCCAAACTTAGGATGAATTTGGGATGATGATTCCAACAAATATTGTCTTGGGGGTTGAAACTGTAACCACCAATCAAAACTAGATGGGGATGGCTCCCTACCTATGGAACCACTTGTGGGGGGGATAAACATGCCAAGAGCAGCTGGTTCATTTTGAGGAAGACAGAACAATGGTTTAGCTTGCTTCATGATGCTTTATGAACATATTATGAACATGTTGAAGACTGGCCAGTTTTTTGATTATAAACATATCAGTTTAAAATAATAATCATAATATTATCTTTAAATCAGATGTCGGTTTTTAATTAAAACCATGCCCAGATGATAGCTCTTGGTTTCCAGAAGCCATCGCCCAGGTAAAGCCCACAGCCGCTTTCCGCGAAGTGGCAGTGGTGCCTTTGGATCCCGAGGACTCCCATGAAACCTGGCAGAGACAGAGATGAAATGAGATGAATACCCTCTGGTAAACATACAAAAAGCTATTGAAAATGGCCATTCATAGTTGATTTACCATGATTTACCCATTAAAAATTGTGATTTTCAATAGCTATGTTAGTTTACCAGAGGGTATGTCAATATGTCAGTCTTACATCAAGAAGCTGTGGTAAGGGAGGCAAAATCTGTTGCAAACGCAGTGATTTAACGCGCAGGAGGATGAATATACCGACGGCTCGTGCGGCGTGGGAAAAAGAGGATCTTCACTGGCTGAATGGTTTGATTCATGGGGGAAAATATCCTGGCTTGGAATGCTGGGTAACCATCCAGGCATTATAAACAGCACTGAGATGCACTGAGGGTGAACCAATTGATCCGTTGGGAAGGACTTCTCAAACCATGGGTAGCATGCACTTTTGTGGCTTATACCCTAACCGCTATTTTAACCAACTTTTTTGGTCGTCTGGCCATATTGTCCCATCGAAACCAAAGGGTGGCCCCCAGGGGTATCTTATTCGCTTCCGCTTGGAGGATCATCCCGGTCGGTAGCTGCTTAGTAACATTTACCGTTAACAAGTCACTTAATTTGGATCCCATGTGTAGGTTATGATCCCACCACAACTGGGATTCGCTGGCTGACGCTCCAAGCACCAGGCCGAGCATTCTGGCCGTGGCTGGTCCCCTGACCAAGCCACTGCAACGCCCAATGCGCGTGCGCCGCTGCGGGGTGTGCGACGGGCGCTGGCGGAGGTGGAAATCGACTTGGAGGAATCTGACCCTTGGATCCTTATAATTAGCAACACCCCAAAAATGAGGCATGTCCTTTGCCATTTTTTCTATTTCACTGGGAATAATTAGTATAATTACTTATTCCATCTGATTCCCATCTTTTTGGGATCATCTATAGGTACTTCAGAAACCATTTTATGGGAACATGGGATATTTTCCCCCAATCCTCACGGGGAGAATAGAAGAAATTTAACCATGAACAATGGTGAAATTTCATGAGATTAAAGTTATTTTTAACCAGCAGCTGAGGATTTACCCTCTGGTAAACATACAAAAAGCTATTGAACATGGCCATAGAAATAGTGAGTTTTCCCATTAAAAATGGTGGATCTTTCCATAGCTATGTTAGTTTACCAGAGGGTAACTATGAAAGATGTTGAATTCAAATCAACCAAAACCGGAGAGTAGCCAGCAATAATGGGGAGATAGCCGGAGATAGCTAGCATTGATCAAGATAGAAAAATTGCATAATCCACAGATGAAAAATTGACCTAAACACGTTGGTGGAAAACTACGCGTTTGAAGGAGATAGCATAGGGATCTCATGTGATATACACCTTATACAACTACATGATATGGGCAATGGGGTATGCTCCTTCTTTTATGGCCATGTTGATAGGGCAAGTGATGATGTAAACCATTGGATATTGGGGCACCCCACATTTCGACAAACGCAGACAATCCTTGGGTTGTTTTATTTGTTGAACTATCTGCAGGCTGGATGATGATTTCAATCGACTAGTTGGCTGTTTGAGCGCAGCGAAAAGACCAAGCACTTTTTTGTGATTCTCTATGCCATGCTTCAAAGGATGGGAGGATAAGGATTAGGATGAGGAGAATACGGAACTTGTGAGCGAGGATGGTGATGATCCCAAGTGATTCAATCTTTTCGGGTTGATTTCATCAACAAGTCCTTCATGCATTTATGGCTTAGATATTTGCCTAGAAAATCATGGATTATGTTTTGGGCAATTGTATTGGCAAATACAACATACACATCCATACATTCCATGCGGATGGAAGATCCTAGGATCCCTGGCATATGAACTTTGTGCGATGTCACAAAGAAAATTCACAAAGTATCCTTTTGGCGTTCAAAGACAATGAACCTTACAGTAAACAAGCACCAATATATATATATATATATATATAGTTGCCCAATAAGACTGAGCTGCACTGAATATATCTAGTTGATCCCAATTGCTGCCACAGTCAGCAGGCTCGCAGAGCTACCTTCTTGATCTTACTGTGAGACGGAATCTTAATATGGGTAGGTTTTAGAATTTGGAACGCAACGCGCTCTCACGACGATCAACACGCACAGACACAGACGCATATATGCTATGTAAACACATTTTTTTTGGAGTATTCCCGCAAAAGATAGGAACGAAAGTCCTACTGAAATAGCGGTAAATCTCTTTTCTATCTTTTAGATTGCTGACTATAATATATATATGATATATATGCAATTATACTCTATATATAATATATGTATGTTTAGCTATGTCATATTATATATGTACATGTGAACATATTATACAGTATACATGTATATGTACACGTGAATATCACATATATATATATATATATATATTAATTATACATATTGAACAAAAACACAACCTAAGTCAGAAGATGTCAGAAGCAGCAGCGCCTTCCCCATAGTCAAATCCAAGGACAAAGAGGAGGGTTTCTCCGATTACTACGATGAAGATGAAGAGGAAGTCAGTGATGATGAAGGCCGAAGCAACCGTTTTGGTTTGCAATTTGAACGAGTGGTTCCAGAGTCTGCCTACTCTGTGAGCGCTGAAGATGGCCTTATGATGGATCCAAAGCAGTCGAACAAACGAGACTACGAACTTGAGGAAGTCATCGCAGATCGCTGGTGGTCTCGTCTCCGGCGTCGCTTCTTCCGACACAACTACCGCGCCTATGGTTTGGTGGAGGGACAGTGGCAACGAGTGCCAGACCCCCGTGGACCGCGCTATAAACCGCGAAAACGCCACCGTTCACGTCTACAAAAGAAGGAAGAAAAGATGAAGCGAGAAATGCAGTCCAGATCTCGGTAGACTGCAGGAGATGATGGCTTCACAGCGGAGATCTCCGACTTGTGTTGCAGAGGTGCAAAAAGAACGACACAACCACCTGGTGTTCTTTCCAACTTCTGAAAGTGGTGTAGCATCGGTAGCTGTTTTGAAGTGGTAAGCTTTATCCATTGTTCAACAAACAAATTTGAGTCAAAAGGTCTAGTGATGATTGGTGTATTCATATTCTGCAGCACAAAAGGATACATGTTAACCGCTCTGAAACATAGATAAAGAACAAACACATTTTCTCAAACGAGCAATTTTAGTTACCTGAGTTTTTCTTGCATCCCTAGATGTAATGATGTAGTGTTGTCCATTGAATTATCACAGCTGCGTTTGGCTCAAGGATGCTGTTGTGCACTTCCTACAGAGACATATAAGCAACACTTTCGTTCTAAGGGTTGTCCAGAAAACCACATACAGTAGTTTCTATTTATATTGTTTAGAAACTCATGCACAAGTTGCGACACAAGCGAGAGAAGCTAGCACTTATCTAACACCCTGCTTTGAGTAAGCCGGAATTCTATGAACTTTCAAGTAACGGCCTATGGCACATATACAGTACATACATATACACTTTATCACTCAGCTGCCTCAAATTTTCCTTGAAACTGGTAATACTGGTATCGTAATGGGCCAATGGCTTCCAGTTCGACTCCTGAGCGGGCAGAAGAACTGCTGTGGTCGCTGGGAGTAGGAGAGAATTTGCCAAAATGGTTGAAGGAGTCGAGGAAGCGTGCCACGATGCCGATGCTCAATGAGAAGAAAGATCAGATTGCAGGCAGGATTGGATGACAGGATAGTTCTTTTAATCTTGGGAAATCTTGGGAATATGAGTGTTTCTCCAGATGGTCCCACCATGTCCCAGCATTTTAGAAAAGCCCATACCAGAGGTTGGTCTGTGTCATTTGCCGAACAGGTGGACTGCCGACACAGGCCTGGTGATTTTCCTGCGCTGTTTTCCTATCTGAAACTGTTTCAGGCGAAAGTACTTCCAGGTAGCCGAAACCTTGTCTTTGGGTCATCTTTTTGACATTCGGGGAGGTGTTTTTTTCCGTGGATTGCTGGGATGCCACTGGCAAAGGCTCCGGCAGTTGCAGATTCAGGCGAGGAGACTCAGCCAGCAACATGCAGTTGGCTTCAACAAACAGACCTTTCAAGATCTTTTAACCAAGCAGGAGATCGAGCTGTTTTACGACTTGATGAAAGCAGGCTCTTTCTACAGGCATGATATTGGATGTGTTTATTTTGTGATATTATATACCCTTTGGTAAGCAAACGAAATGGAAAGTCCCCTATATATAAATAGAGGTTTTGCAAAATCATCTACAGATGGTGGATTTTCAATTGCCACGGCCACGTTTGAGTGCCGGAGGGTAGATGATTAGATTCGATTTCCTTTTCATTTCAACAGATACTCTTTGACAGCGAAAGGTATTTGTTCCTTAGTCACTTGTCAGGGCAACAGCAACAAGACAACGGACCGGTACAGGTGTATGGACCTCAACAAGCGACAACCATATCGATGTGATCGTGTTTTGATGCTCGTTGGAACAAATCCTGGATCTCACAATACTGTATTCATCTCCATCTATATCCATCTATATCCATGTATCTTGTGATATGTTTCCTACTTGGCTATACTTGGGTGATACTTGGGTGATTTTGGTGATTTTTGTGCAGATGAACATACCGTTCATATGGACCGCGTATCCTGGGCCAAGGTCTTTGCTGCACGGCCCGCTGCGTGGGCCTAGTGGTCCATGTGCTCCAGCCATGAGTTTGAAGGCTTGTCAACATGTCACAATAATATATACTGTATATATACTGTATATATCCTGTATATATACAGTATATATACTGTATATATATACTGTATATATACTGTATATATACTGTATATGACTGTATATATACTGTATATATCTGTATATATTCTGTATATATATATACTGTATATATATACTGTATATATACTGTATATATACTGTATATATACTGTATATATACTGTATATATACTGTATATATAATACTTTATAAACTATATTATATATATACTATATATGTACATATACATATACATATATATATATATGTAATATGTAAGAGGTTATAAACCAAGCATTCTGTTTGGATATAATGGGGATTTCTATGGGATATTCAACCTGATGATTTTTTAGGGTACCCTATCTTCAGACAAACCCCTATATGGCTTGATATTTCTTTGAAGCACCTTTTTTGGCAACTCTTCTAAACCATTCAGAAAGTCTGAAGCATCTATATCATCATATAAATCATCATAAATCCATAATATGCCATAATCATCGTAATGTTTGCAGATCTTCCATGCAGATCTTCCATGCAGATTCTGACTGATATTTTGGGTGAATCGTGCCACTTTAAGTGGACTGGTTCATACCATCGCCTTGGCACAGGACTGGCTCGAAAGCCTGGACGAAGATGGCTTTCTGGCGACATGACGCATTCAGCACAGAGCTTTGGGGCGTTGATTTCTCAACATCGGTGGGCAAAGAATTGGCTCAGACTTGATGTATATGAAATGCATCTGTTGGATATTATATAGTAATGGATATATATATATATACACTGTATAATATATATATATGTATTATATTTGTAATATGATGAATGTTCAAAGAAATTCCAAGGCAAAGTCGGCTCCCAGTGATTTCATGCTTGGTTCATGCCGATGGCCGACTAGCAAAGAGTCCGATAAGTTGGATACATCGTCTGTCTGAAATTCTACAAACATAAGGTACCCTCTGGTAATTTAACGTAGCTATTGAAAATGACCATTAATAGTGGATTTTCCCATTAAAAATGGTGATTTTCAATAGCTATGTTAAATTACCAGAGGGTAATCGATGGGACCTTCCCCAAAAGCGATACCCCCTTAGGTAATGTAGTGCCACAATGGAAGTTGATTTGTTGATGTCTTTTGTGACTTAGATTTGGGCTCACAAGGGCATGTGCTCCTCAGAAAGTGTTCTTCGTGATATGAAATGGTCTGCAGAAAAGAGAACCCTAGGGATTCTGCAATCCATGTGCTACCATGTGATCATTGGCGGTGGATCTCGAAAGGATATTGCAGGATTTGTGGGGCGAGCAGATGTCTTTGGTGAGGCATTTATTATTGTTGGTGGATTCGACCTAGCAGTTGGATTTTGCAGATACCTCATGGCAAATCCGATGGTTCCCATGGTTAAAAGGTAACCACTTTCAGTCACTTTCATGGCAAATCTCTGATTTTCAGACAGTTAAACATGTGAAAAAAATCCATTCGAAGCATCTCAGGTTCAGTACCATGACAAGCTGGCCAGTGGCCTTGACAGTATTGAGCAGATGTTGGTGGCCTACACTAAGCAGGCGATGCTGACCACAACGGTTGTGACAGATGGGGAGATTGCCCAGCAGTGGGCCTTTTTCGCCAGGAATTATGGGAATATCTATAGCAGATGATAGCCGAAAATGATGGGGCATTTACATGGATTGACTCGCAAACATGAGGATGAAACCTGCAATTTCATTCATATATCCATTCATTCTGGGTACATAATGTAGATAGAACACGGATATCATGGGATTTAGCCTCCCCCAACATAGACCCTGCCATGAGCTGGGCTGGAAGATTTCCTCTCAAAAAGGTCTTGAGGGTCTATGTGAGTTGGGGGGATAGTACCCATTTTTGTTGGAGAAATCTTGAAATCCAAATGGTGTTGGATAAAATCACTATTCCTGGCCATATTGACAGTTGGAGAAGTGTTGAAATATGTTGAAATTTAAATCATGATATTTGGCAATTGATGGCTTCCCCAAGAATGTGCTCCTCAACGACACTCCACAGGATGGTGAAATCGATCCCAAGTTCTTCGAAGATGTCGACATCAAGAAACTAGGCACCTTGAAGCTTTGCTCAAAGATGTTTGGATCATTTTGGATCCGGATTTGGATTTTGGTTTGCCCAGGAACGGGGGATGGCCCATCTCTCATTTTGGACATTCTGGCTGGGAAAGATATATTAATATATACACAATATATGAAACCATGATAAATTATAAACGAACACATTGCATGTGGGGGTACCCTTTTTTGGGAGACATCCATCTCACATTAACTTAGTGTCGTCATTTAATGATCAAACAGCATTGAGCAGAATGCGGGTCTGGTGGACGAAGCCATTTCAGTAGCTTGGTTTTGCCAGTTGTTTAAGGGAAAGAACTTGCTTTGCGTCAGGGCATCGACGGCTGTTCCAACAATGGTTCCGCGAGCAAAGCCGAAAACTCGCGGCACAAATGAATAGCGCCCTCATTGACCGCCAGTTTGCAGCATTGACAATAGGTCAAGATGTTCTTACCTCGTAAAAATATGTTAGTACTGAAACACTTTGAAAGTCGGTGAGTCCCTAGTCCCTAGGTTCCAACTTCAAAACCACTAGTTGGAATTGCATTTTTTTCTGTGGCCCATTCCTAGGTACGCAGAGATATCATGACCTGATCATCTTCACTTTGGACTTTAGATTGTTGTTTCGGAGCTTGGAATTCCCGTGAATTCCCATGGTTGTTGGTAAAATCCAGCAAAATCCCCCATGCGGAACGTTCCGCATGGCATGACCATCGCTGCTTTGCCATGTACCAATGTCACACTGGAAATAGATGTGCCTAGCCAGCAGCTATACATCATGATTCCGTGTGCTTGACAGCAATCGTAAGTAGCCAATAGCCTGATGTTGCAGGTAACTGGTGGGAAGATCACTGGTGTTGTTTGCAAGGGAAACCTATGGTACAGTATGAGACAGCTTTGGCGCTGGCGATTTGAGCTGCGATTTGCAACCAATATCCACGTCCCTGACAAACCTTAAGTAAGGTCCAAAAACCATAGTCGGAGATAGAGAACAACATGCATTGCTACAGCTTGAGAGACGGAACCACGAAGAACTTACCGAACAGACCTGTCCGAAGCAAAGTCTGACAATTATGCCATAGCAGAGATGGACGCTGAAAGCAGCCTAGAGCAACTACAGGTGAACCAGACCAGGCAAGCACATCCAAGCTGTTCGATTGTGGTCAAGTTGGGCCACGCTGTAGCACCAATGGTGTGGAGTTGCGATGGTGGAGAGGACTGGGGGATCAATGCTGAGTCCAACATGTTACTGGAGGCATTTTGGACCCAACATGCCTCACACCGCTATCTGGCCACACTAAGAGGAATAGAGTTCTCAAGTCTCACCAAGAAAAGGATCACAAAGCCCAGTTTTTCCAGGCTGCAGCGGGTCCAAGTGTCCATCCCCAGGGAGGATGCTCTTCTCACCATGGGATGTTCGAGAAGTGGTTCTATCCTTGGTTCCTGTGACCCTGAATTGATGGTTTTAGGGATACCCTCTGGTAAACTAACATAGCTATTGAAAATGGCCCAGTCGAAATAGTGGATTTTCCCATGAAAAATGGTGGATCTTTCCAGTTCGCCATGTTAGTCATTACCAGAGGGATACCATCATGGTGGTTTTAGGGATACCAGGAGCCCCTTAGTCCGATGGAGCTGGACGTTGTGTTTCTGCGTCCTTTGCAGCGGCCTGAAGGTGCCATAATTGGTTGGTGGATGTTGGTGGTTTTTAGATGGTTTTTAGTACCAGGACCTGTTTAGTCACACTGTGTAGTTTTATGATGTTTAATAGGTAGTTTTCGCTTTTTTAGCTGGGTTTTTCCCCATTTGCTCAACCACCAACCAGCAATCCCCCAGCAATGGATCCCCAAGAAGTTGGCCAGGTGCAAGTGCCATCTTTCACAGCAGATGCACCGTTTCTCCTGCTCTTGTGGGGACCCTCAAGCTGCATGCTGAAGCACGCTTGGAAGAAACTTGGTCACGGTTGCAGCTTTCAACTCGCCCCGTAACTCGTACGCTGGAAGTCATGTTTTAGTCGGATAGTCAATGTCAACAAATCCTTGCATGCGGGAGAGACTCCCATTGGAAATCTGCAAAGGCAGTATGTCAGTGGCATGTCTCTTTATCCTCCAGTGTTGCACAGCTCTTGAGTTTCCATCTAGGATTGAAGCTCGTATATCCCCAGCTAAAAAGGTACTCGTACCACATGGTACCACTATACATCATGGGGAGGTACTTGTTATCAAATAGTGGTACCATAACGACATTTAAATATGTGCAGGGCGGGCCAGACCACAAGGCCCCGGAGGTAGTATGAAACATCAGTTCCGTCCGTATGTTTGAATGTATGTTTAAAGTGTAAATAAATGGATTCCGTATGTAGTACCACAGATGTTGCATCAGTGTATCAATGGATTGGTTTAAGGGACAATTTACGTGCAACTTTAATCAATTTATATCAATTTCATGTGGAGAAAAATATGGTTTCCAGTAGCCCTTAAACCAATCGATTGAAAGCCTAAGTAGGATTGTTTTCCCACTATAATCCCATTTTATACCCCATATGACCATATCTAATCATATATGGCTATGGATCAATACCTATACATACCATTTTTAGTGGGATGAACATCCATTTACCAGCTATTTTGATGTTCACCAGGGGGATAGGGTTTTGACCCATCCCCATATAATCATATATACTCATCCCCAAGTGTATATTAATTCATCGTCGTTAATACCGCCCGAAAAACCAGATCCAGGGCGGACGTGGGCTTCACCCCGGGGGTTCAGATTTCGGTGAACATCACCAGCAGTGAGCCTGGGGCGGCGCGGAAACCCAGGGACCCACGTGGGATTCACCGGTCATTAACCCCCAAAAAAAGCTGGGTAGAACTGGGTTGTAGCGGGTAGTTAACCCTCATGAATTGTAACTGGGTAGAACTGGGTTGTAAATAACTGCAATCCTATTGTAGCATTGATTATAATATAACTGGATATAATTATGGGTTTAATGGACAATTTCTCTAATTCTCGGCCCAGTAAAGTAGGCGGGATCAGTTTCGCCTGCTGCGGCAATGATTTGGGGATCTATTTCACAAAGCCTCCAAAGGATTTAGAGATTCTGATGATGCTCATTTCTGCTAGTCATGTTGATTGCTGCTCCGGAAGTATCTTGCGTAAAATCTTGGAGCAGATCCCAAGAATCAAAACGAAGAATTGATTCCTGCCCAGCGGAAGCAGCCCAAACGGTGCATTTAGCCTGTGTGTTAAATTGCTGGAGGTCCAGCGGGAAAATGCACCAACAGAGGGTAGCTTCAGACAGCCAATTCAAGCGATGATGCAGAATCAAGTGAACAAACGATGTTGTCGTGGATGTGGATGTTATTATTCCGTTTTCCTCACGTGGATCAGCCATGAGGTTTTCCTACTTCTCTCCTCAACCCAGGCGAAGCAGCAGCTGAAGCATTTCTGTGTTTTCATGATTTTGTCACGCAATGGCGAGGAGTTGCCATGGTGGAGTTGTCTCATCTATTTGTCTCCACATGTCTCCACCACCGAATTGTTGGAACTGAACAGGATAGGACAGCCTTAGGACAGCTATGTCACCATGTGCCTTGCATGATTTCTTTTTGGGTGCTATAGTCATGCAAACACCCATGGCCCACGGCAAGAAGCATCTACGTATTATATGTATTATGGGGTTCAAACCGTGAGACTCTTCAGGGACAGGTGGTTTCAAAGCACCATGTTCTGGTGATTTGCAAGTAGTCTTCCATGCAAGCAAAAACTGATGAGTCATCATCCCACCAAATGTTGAAGAGTTTGTTACATTCGCTACCAATTGGGTCATTTGGGTTCTATGTTGTTTCAGGCCGTTTCCAGCTTTCCAAAACGGTTTCATCCATGCTTGGTCTATTCACCCTTCGCTGCCAGCTTCATGACTGGCTCCATGGTCCGCCTCGAGAAGATACCGATGGCAATCTTTCGAGCTATTTTGCCAGGTGGATGGGGACCCATGGTTGGATTTTCGACTTTCAAGGAAAATTGTGTTGTTTTTTTTCTGGGTCATAATTCTAAATATGATTCGTTTTTCTTGGCCTTTCAGGTTTTTGCACCATTCACCTGGTACAAAACATCTTTGTTGCCTGAATCTGTTACAGTAAAGTTTGATGTCCTTTGCTGGAAAATAAACACGTGTACCACGATGTCTTGTTGAAATTTCATGACCTTGGGCAGGGCCTGGTGTCATCGTTCCTCTTTCGTGGGTTAGGTTGCTGTTCAAATGGGAGCCATGGCAAACACTGTTTGCACTGCTGTGGGGATATCATGATTTGTGATTGTTATTGAAATTGCATCTTATCAAGATTATCATTCGCACATGCTTCGGTGTCGGGTATACATTCGGGTCATGATTGAGGAAGTATTGGTAACTAACTATTCCACACATGGAGCATCTAGGATCATCGGTATATCCATGTATACTGTATATCCCTACATCCGAGTTTGGGTCGTTGACATCTCCATGCCTGAGTCAGTGGCGGCAACCATTGTCACGCCAGCTGAGTGCCAGGATCAGGGATGGGCAGCAGAGGGGCTTTATCAATTGCATCTATGCTTTTCCGCAGGGGGGGGATGAACATCCAGCTATAGTGTCTCTTTTACTATGAAAACTATAGGCTACAGATGGCTACAGTATAGTTTGGTTTTGATCCATGTATATCTATATCGTATGCAACATATTAAGTAAGTGGTAGATATACAACTTCGTCACCCATCGTCAAGAATCGCCAAAACACTGTAGATTACTGAAAGCATCTCGCTGCATATTAGCCCATTACGAGCCCCATTCACTCATGCCTCATTCAAAACGGCTGACAGGATTGATCTCGACCTGCCAAAGGTCGATTTCTTCTATGTCGCTCAGCAATAAGATAGCCAAGTTGCCAAGTTGCCAAGATCTCATTTCTCTAGTCATTTTGAAATGGTTGCAAGAGATTTTGTGACGTTGTAGAGTCATGTCGTTGTCTCGTTGTCCTCAACAAATCTCAACATATAGTAGAGTCTGCAACTTTCTGTAAGGATACTTTTGAGTCGGAAATTGTTGCAGGTTTTTAAGAAACTACCAGCATCACCATCATTACCACCAAAAACATAATCATAATCATAATTGTAGTAAGACTAATAATCATCATCCTCGTCGAAGTCGTCGCCGTCATCATCGTCGTCATCATCATCAGTATCAGCCTCATCATCACCATCATTGTTATCATCATCAGCATCATCAGCATCAACATCAACATCAACAACACCATCACCATCAGCATCATCATCAGCGTCAGCATCAGCATTGAGCATCTCATGAACATGCATGAATACACACCGTCATAGGGCTTGCATCTGCGGGAGGGTCTGCACCTAGGCTGGTATCTTTGATCCAACTTTTAATGCAGAAATGCCAAAGAAGTACAAGGCCAAGAGACTGTGAGCATAACTTCTCAGTGCCTTCCTGCAGTGAAAATCATTGGATCGAGCATTATCGCAATCGTGGTCTGCTATGAATAAAAACAGACGGTTATGGCCCAAAGATGGGGCATGAACTCACAAAGTGGTCATTTTCAATTGAACCATCCAAGTTTTACGTGTTTTGAGTGAGGGCCAATAAGGGCCAATAATCTTGAACCACACCCAAATGTTGGAGTTCGATATCAGATTAGTGCTCTCAACTCCGACCTTCCCAAAGATTCTGCTGCCTGAAGATTGATCTCGACTTCGTCAACGCACATGGGCAGCATTTGCCCGTACAGTGGGCGCTAGCCTTAGTCAATTCATGTCAATTCCAAGATACCAAGGTCTGTGCATTTGTGGGTGGGGCAATGCTATGCAATACTTCACTGTCACAGATCCTTCTTCAGCCATCAAGACCTTTCTATTGGAGGATCCTTTGATCCGACTGAGGCGAAACTGCCGTTGATGTGGGCGATTTCGAGTATTGCCTTTTCCTTCTTCGTCCAGGGTGCTGTGCCCTGGCTTGACGCTGCTGCGATGCTACCGGGGTTTTCAGGAGGTATGATGATTATCACGGAGTGTTTACTATAAACAAATGAAAGACTTGCAACTATACCTGTTATGCATGTCTATAACTGCACTGTAAATCATTCCCTGACCTTCAGCCGAGCTGTGAAATTAACACTTTAGCAGTGAATCCATGTTGTTTCTAAAGCCGCAGAAATGACATCTAACAGTCAGGGATGTGTTTTCATTGTTTTTATCGCAAAAAGATTGGTGAGAGTTACTTAGTTGATCTAATCTTAGTTGTTACGATTCACAACTACGTCAGCTTGGTGGTTTCAAACATGGCTTTTATTTTCCATTTCATATATGGGATGTCATCCTTCCCATTGACTTTCATATTTTTCAGGGTAAAACCACCAACCAGATGCAATACATCATGGCTTACCGTCCCAAAGTGTACGAATTTTCATGGACACGGGATCATGGGATGTTTGAAAGGACAAAAATATACAGTACTTAATATATACAATTAGTTGTTTGATATTGTATTACTAGTACTATATATTAGTCTATAGTTGTACTGTATATAGTACTAATATGCTACAATATCGACTATATCAATACTATACTATATCTATACAATTATCCAAAAAAAAGGGGAAGGATGTCCAAGAATTCAATCATATTGAGAGGGTATCCTGGGCAATCATGCCATAACCCAAAAATTGTCCAAACTTTTCAGCTGCCAGGTGATCTTGACGTCCACAACGTGGTACAGGTCTTCAACGCCTTTGCACGGATTGCTGATGCTATGTGCTGCCTTAAAGGCTGGGATGTTCCGTCACATCAGTCTGTGCTTTGGTTATCTTGCTAGCGTTGATATCAGTTGGTCATCATAGTGAATTGTCATGAATTATCATATTTCTGAAAGGGACATGAACAGTCCAAGATATCAGGTTCTTTCACAATACTTATAGCTGACAGTTGAACTCGTTCTTCGCTTGCTTAAATGATCTGGGTGTGTCTGAAAATGGGTACCACATCCCATCTCATAGTTTACCATCATTTTATTTTTATCATCATTTTATCATCATTCTATCATCAGGCTATCAGCTCTATCATCATTTTATTAAATGATATCATCATAGTTTCCCTTCAAAGAGCCACTAATGGGTATCCTACCGGGTACCCTCTGGTAATTTAACATACTGTAGCTATGAAAGATCACCATCTTTAATGGGTAAATCAACTATTTCTATGGCCATTTTCAATAGCTTTTTGTTTGTTTAATCACCATTTTTAATAGGTAAACCATCTATAAATGGCAATTTTCAATAGCTATGTTAGTCATTACCAGAGGGTATCCATCAGGACGAGTTCACTCCTCTCGCTTTGCATCGCCCTTCCAGGCGATCGAACTTGTGGTCCGTGCAGAGCTCTTCCGAGCCAACTGGGACCGCATTTTTCCAACGGGCGGAACGGGCGGCTAGGGACAGCTCCCATGAAAACAACATTTGATAAGCATATTCCGCATATTCTACCCTTGCCTTGGGTATCCTGGGTAGAAGGGTGGAAAGGCAGGTCTATATAATATGATATAATATGTATATTATATAGTTTAAGCCTGTACAAGGCTGATTGTTTGGTGAGTTCAAAGTGTTTTCAATTTTATGCTGTCTTCAAAACACCGAAGAATCGGATGATAGTCCCCAACCGACCCAAATTTTTGGCATGCGGTCTTCGAGGCTTAAGCAGTTTAGAGTGTGAGGTCGGTGCCATCAATGGAGCCATTCACGGGGGTTTTCCCACTCAAACCCGGAGGCCGTTTGAGTCATCAAATACCAGCATCATCACCACCAGCACCACCAGCACCAGCACCACCATCAAAGCCATCAAAGCCATCAAAACAATCAGAGGAATACTCTTAGTTACCAGCACCAGCATCAGCATCACAGCACCAGAACCGGCACCAGCATCAGCATCAGCATCAGCATCACGGTACCAGCACCAGCACCAGCACCAGCATCAGCATCACGGCACCAGCATCAGCATCAGCATCAGCATCAGCATCACAGCACCAGCATCAGCATCACAGCACCAGCATCAGCATCAGCATCAGCATCACAGCACCGGAACCGGCACCAGCATCAGCATCAGCATCAGCATCACGGCACCAGCACCAGCACCAGCACCAGCAGCACCAACATCAGCATCACGATCATCATCATCATCATCACCACCATCATCATCATCATCATCATCATCACCATCATCATCATCATCATCGTCATCATCATCATCACGATCATCACGATCATCGCGATCATCACCATCATCATCATCATCATCATCATCATCATCATCATCATCATCATCATCATCATCATCATCACGATCATCACGATCATCAGCATCATGATCATCAGCATCATCATCATCATCATCATCATCATCATCATCATAATCATGATGATCAGATTTCCTCTGACAGCTTGTACTCTTGTCAGCAAGTTGTAAACTCCTTCCAGTTTGGGAGAACACCATAAGGTCCTCTCTCTAGATGGCGATGCACCGCCCTGGAAGCTGAAGGCGAGCGAACCAACTGGGGATCAATGCATGGGTTTGTCTTAAACTGCTGGATGGGCCCGTAATTTACAGCCACTTTCATGGTGAAAACAATGACACACCTAGTTTTTTGAGGGTAGCTTATTTTCAGCCAAACCCAACTTCTTCCTGAAAGTTGTCCAAAATGCTGAATGTCCAAAGGTAGAATCTCCAGACTGGGGGATGGACAGGTGCAAGGGGATAGCAATTTTGGGACAACCCTTACTGATCACTTGGGCAAGACATGCAGCCAGTTGGGTTTGACCTGAAATTTCTGCCTCAGTGGCAGCTAGAACCGGCCATCTGACTGCCGTATTACGGTTCCGTGGCTTTCCCAAACTGGAGATCCCGAAAACACACAACTTGTTCATTTTTAATGTTATGGAATCACTTGGTTTGAGGGGTGCACAAATCAGAGAAGCACCCTTACCGCGTTACCAGTATGGGTCTGGGTGTCCAGACATGGATGGATACACCCAATATCACCTAAGGTCTTTAGCTTGGATCTCCACCTTTGCGGTTGCCATTCAGAAGCTTTGATTTATTGATATTTATTGTAGGTTTGTGGTTTTAAGTTATCATTTCAGCGTATTTTAGACAGTTTTGGTATATTTCTGGTTGTTGTATCCCCCTGGTCGCCGCTTTGTTTCGAGGTCTGGAGGCTTCTGCACTACGTGACTGACACCTTTGAGCTGTTGGTGATGGTGTTGATCGCCCTAGGCCATTCCGCCGGCTACGATGGGATGCAACAAGTTTTGCTTCCCACGTCATTGTATTTAAATCATATGTATATATAATATATAAATCATATGCATGGTATTTAGAAAAATAGTATATATTAGTATATGTTAGTATATTTATTTTTATGTATATATACATATACACATATGGGTGCAAGTCAAAATAGGAGGTCCGGAACAAGCTCCGGGACCACACTCGTTCCATACCCCCGTTCCATACCCCTGTTCCATACCTCCTTGAAGGATCCGTTCCATACCTCTGTTCCATACCTCTGATCTATACGTTATGATATATATATATATTATATATATATATTTTTTTATTTAATTATATATATATCTGAAGAATATGTGCAGTCTGATTTTACATTTGTACGCGCGTACTTGAGCGCACATACATAGACATGCAAGAATACGTTTACTATGCCCAAGCCCTGTGATTGTGTTGGCAAGTCTGTGCCTGCAGCGTTTGTTGTGTGATGGTAGGGATGTGCTTGGCTGTTGTCGGCTGGCAGTCTAAGAATGGATTGCTTGTAACCGGGCCTCCCTCTCAACCTGTGGCAGATTTGCGCCTGCACCACTTACAGTTGCTGCCCGCTGTGGCACAGCTGTGATGTTTGATGGTAGAGATGCGCTTGGCTGTTGCCAGCTGGCAGTCTAAGAATTGCTTGCTGCGCTACTCTCGCTCCAAACTGCCAATTTTGATAAAGATGTGCTGCGTGGTGGCAGAGCTGTGCTGGAGTGCCGTTTCGTTCCAGACCCCGTTCCATACCGTTCCATACCTGTTCCATGCCCGTTCCAGACCCGGACCACCCATGTACCATCCCTGACCCACTTCCGGGTGAACAAATCGCAGGTTCTCACATAGACTGCTCCTAAGCCATCCTTTGCGCGTGGGTTTTGGGAGCCTAGAGTCTTGCTACGCGGGGACACAATCTACCCCATAGGGACCGGGACCTCTGAGTTTTAAGAGTAGGAGGTGGGACCTGCGTGACAGGTCTCAAGCTGAGTGGACAGCTTCACACAGTTGTCCTAGCTAGTGCACGAGCACTAGCCATGCAAGGCAAACCTGCGTTGAACAGGTGTACAACAAGGATGCCGCGCAGATGAGAAGTGAAAATGAGCGGCGGCCAGCGGTAGTAGCTTCAACGTGCATATCCTCGAGATGTATATTATATACATATATTATACATATATACAGTATACATATATGCTTATATTTATGTACAGCTTATACTTCATCACATTCCAAAGGTCCGGAACAAGACCAGTTACGAAACCCCTTCGTTCCAGACGCCCGGAACAGCGCGGAACGTTCCATACACAATTTTGACTCATAACCATATATACACATACATATGCATATATATATATACATACATACATACATATTTCAATCGGTTTTGGTTGGATTGAATTGCATGAATCCTAACCTTCTGTGGCATAGGCCTCTTGCTTGAAACCCTAGGCCACCGCACGCGCTACAAACAAGTGTCAAACTTGTTTGTTCTAGTGCTTTGGTTGTGGCTCAAGCACAAAGGGATTTTGGGATATGGCAAACGTAAAACAAAGGTCGGCATGCAAATATTACTTTATAGATTCTTGCACTTTATGCATGTGCTATATGTTTTCCTCAGGACACTCGATGGCTGAAATTGCAAGATTGGATGCTCTTCAACGACCAATCCTGGATATGTGCATATGGATGTGGAATATATTGTGCATAGCATATTAAACCACATAAATTATATATATATTATATACATATATATATATATATAGACACGAATAGATGTAGAACGTGTTTTGAAAAAAGGGTCACGCCAGACGGTCGGCAGAGCCCCGCCATGTGTCAACAGCTGCACCGTCTCAGGCCGGTGACTGTCTTGACGCCTGTGTCAGTTGGGTATGGGTAGAGAGGTTGGAAATAGATGGTGATTGGATGTTCATACCCCGATTTTGTTTGGTTTGACCAACATCCACAAGCATTCTTCATCAGCTTGACATGCGAACAACAGTCAGAAACATCTAGATATGAAGCATCATTTTGGAGATGCTTTGCTCTAAATATTGTCTTGAACTAGTTTTAGTTTTGGGATATTTTGTCACTTCTAGCCCCGTCTTGTTGGAGCATGTTGGAGCTTCACAAAGACCTGAAAGGAACATGGGAGCTGTTGGATGTCATTTACAGCTTCATCCAGCTACCATAAAGACCAGTGTCTCACCAATTTCAAGACTTGATCCTATGCCCGAACCTTTTGTTGGGAACATGATGCTGAACACATATCGTTGGTGGGGCTAGCCATTTGGGAGCCTCCAACTGTTTGCACCAACATTCCCCACACACATCCATCGCAGACGATGAGTTGGAGACAATCCGTGGAGGTGCGAACACAGCAGCCTTGCCAACTGCCAGGTCTGATTGAAAGACAGATTCAAGATGAGTTTCTGTCATTCGGACCTCCCAACCGTCCCTCTTGCGGGCTACCCTCCGGTAATCCAAGCGTGGTGGCAATGGACACATCCACTGTTTATCGTTGATTTTCCCAGCTATAAACCTCCATTTTTCTCGGGGATTTTCGAGCCCACGTTTGACTACCAGAGGGTACTTCAGCTGAAGTGGCTGGGGTTTCGCCAGCTGCCAATCCTGACTTCAGCACAGAGGCAGAGCTCTCGCAATGTCGCTCCTGGAAGAAAGCCTTGGAGGTGCTGACAGGGAGAGAAGTGGCAGGTGATCGCATCAAAATGTGGTATTTAAGCTTAAGCATCCAAATGTAACATTTATATAAATATACATTGAACATCATTTAACATCATTTAACACACATGAGTGACGGTGTTTGTTTGGTGAAGTGAAGAGTAGTCTTGTTACTGAAAACACATGAAACACCATATCAAGATTGCAAAACAAGGTAGGAACACTCTGAGAACGGCGAGAACGGGAATGGAGAATGAGGTAGGATCACCCCGTCGATTACGAGATGCACCAAATATTTTCCGCGGCTCACCTACCTATAGGTTCTGGAACTTGTGAAATTAGTCTCAAATTGTCTTTGTGCAAGTGCTTATAATTGTTATATAATATATAATTCCATGAAATTGCATGCGTTGTTGCAAGTTGCTGCATCTTGCTGCTGTTGCTGCTGTTGTGGTGCTTGCTGTGGTGGTTGATGGTTGAATTCTTGTGCCGACTACGAGGTGATCGAATTCCTGCAGGGTGAATGGTGCAATGCAGATGCAACTCAGATGCAGATAAGGCTTGACTCATAATATGACTGTGTCTGAAAATGGGCTATGACCCCAAAAAGGGCAAAAAAGAGGAACCTGATAATTCATTGATAAACCGATAAACCAATAGATTGTGGGATTTTGGGGTAGCCTATTTCCAGACAACACCATATGCATCCATGTGTAGATCTTGCGGGAGCAGACGCGGCTAAGGAGCCACAAAAATGATATCCCTACTGACTGGGGAGCATTTGGGAGCCCTTTTTGTCCCTTTAAGATCGATGGGTAGAGAAACTTGGTGGCTGATATGCAGAGACCTTGTGGTTGATGCTTGACTGAGGATTCGAACGAGAGCTACTTTGTCATGGGAACCTCTGTGAGCCTTTTGGATGTATAATCGACTCTGCAACATGGGAATCGGTGCCTTCCACTCTCTGTCAACTCTCTGTCAACTCTGTGAAGGTTCCACTTTGTCAAATGGACTGCTGGGTAGGATTTGTGGTTGCCAAGTCAAGGCGCTAATTCATGCATTCCTTCCAGCTTCCGAGGGGAGGTATCTTTTTGTCAAGGCACATAACACTGCTATTTGCTCTGGTTTGGTCTAAGGACGGACAAACTCTCAGGGTACAAAGACGTTCGAAAAATACTTGAGATGGGAGGCACTCGTTTCCTGTGGCGCTGTGTCGCGAGTTCAATGTTGGATGTTCCAAGATTCTTTGGGAAGAACGTGGAAGAACTCAAGCAACACCCATAGGATCCATGGTGCTGGTATATATGTTAACATAAAGGGGGTATATTGATGGTAAATGTTACCATATATAGCATACATGGATCCTATGGGACATGGAAACTTTGGAAAGTTCTGGCGGAATTTTCGACTTTTACTGTGGATCCATGTGGATGACCAAAGATCTATGCAGGACCAATGGGATGCTATCTCCTGGGGACCCAACCAAAGACCCTTGGCAGACGATTCGCGCCGTGCCATGCCCTAATCGATGTTGAATTCTTCTATGGGAATTGTGGAGAATTTTAATGAAGTTGATGGGTTATGGGGTCATATGGGGTCAGTTAACCCCTCCAGCACGTACACATGGCACTAGTTTTGCTCTATTCTTCGTTCACGCCTTCAAGCCTCACTTGTGTTTGTCGGAAAAGGGGTACTCGTAGCCCCAATTCCGATGGATGCTTGTCATTTTGCCCATTACGAATACCGTATACCCACGTGTATAACTATTTACCACAACAAACCTGCTTTTTCCCCAGGGGAAACCACCAAATTTTGGGCCAAACACCATTCTGCCGCCCAGAATTCTATCTAGACACGCCGCAGCCACAGGATGAGGCCAGCTCGCTGTTGGTTGTTTAGCGTGTATGGAATTCCGAGTGAATGACTCACTTGAAGAAGCTTAAAACTTATCCCATCTTATCCCATAAAAAATAAGTCAGTTTATCACACAAATTGTGGGATCATAAAGGTAGATTTATCCCACAATAATCTCATATGTTTTAATATGTTTCAATTGCGTGTGAATTGATGATAAACCCTGTTTTGGGTATAATACACATCCCGCTTCTTGCTGAGTTCAATACGGATCTTTTTTTGGGAGATTTACGGCACCCGCAGACCGTGCACTGGAGCACCTACAAACGGGGCGCAAAGCCTTTCCGCCACCCGGCAGCTTTCAGCAGACCTGGCACTGGGGAACCGGATCACTGGATTTGTCCCCAAATCCATTGGTTAATCGTCATTTTGCCAATTCAAACAGCCCAAATGGGGGTCATAGCCCATTTTCAGACACACTCATATTGCTATATTATATTATATTATATTATGTTATGTTATATTATATTATATTATATTATTGTATAGCAATAACAAAACACGATTACAACATCACCAATGAAAAAATGATTAGCCCCAGTTTTCATCTTCTCCAGCAATTTCCAGCGGACTGGACCAAGAAACCAGGTTGGAACCGACCAAGAGCTCCAGTTGTATCTCGGACTGATAGTGGCCCAAGATGGTCCAAAAAATTATGATGAGTCGTAGCAGGATGATGCTACGTATTATGAAACTTTGGATTTTACCAGGAAAAACATGGAAAAACTGTGGATTTGACATGATTTGTATAAGCATAAAAAAGGGACATGATTTCACCATCATTTGATGATCGGGACATATCTTGAACAAATCTGACATCTGATTTTACCAACCAAAGATATCCAAACAAATGCGGGAAAAACCATTAGCACATCTGCCAAACCACTTAACTTGCTGCTAAGTTGATTGCTAATCACGGCACAGCGCAGGTAGGATTTAATCAGCACATGATGTGGACATTTTCTGCATATGTCGGTTGATGCTTTCATTAAAACACGATGCCTCGTCCATCCAACGGTGATGATCCCAGCATTCAGATGTATCTCATCTAAGCTGATGGGTGCATATGCATTACATTAAATTACATTGAATTGTATAGTAACTTTGTAATACATTTATTTATGCAGAATTTTATTCCAGATTAATTAACAAAGTCCATAGGCATTTGTCAATTTGTGGTCATTTGTATAGATATATCATTAAATTATACACTCATAATAAATATAGATGTTTCAAATATATAGATCTTTGTTAAAATGTCATTTTTTCACGATACACTCATTATTTTTAATGTCATTTATATAAATATATAGATGTTTGAATGATCATAGATATATAGATTTCCCTTTCCAAGTCATCATTCCACCCATGATCGGAATCCTGAGATTCCTGAGGTCCTCATCCCCACAAAGCCGCAGCCGAAAGCGCGGCCAAAGCAGGAGCGGAGATGAGCGGAGCTTGCTGTCCTGTGATGAAAATCATCGTTGGAGTTTCCAATTTCCAATGTTTCCAATATGTCCATAGTCATGGGGGTTTCCATAGCTGGTTTTAATGATGTTTGATGGAAAATCACATGGAGTTAGTTGGGGGTACCCGCATGATTTGTAGGAAAAGAAAAGATCAAGTTACCTGTGCAAGACTATTTGGGATGATGGAATGAACCTATTCACCAGCTATTTTGGGGTGACAACATGTGACAACCAGAGTACCAGATTTTTGACTCAGAACTTATGTGTGAAAGTCCACATCTTCCTGAGAACGTTGCGCTGATGCTGACGGATCTCTCTCGGTAGTTCTCCGAGTCCAAGCGAGTCACACCAATGACCCAAGCCTCTCAGATGGTCGGCCAGAATGGTTGCCATGTGGGTATGTCTGAAAATGGGGTATATTCCCAATTATAGCCATTTAGTAGGGATAATGATCATTAACCATTGGGTGTAGGGGTACACTATTTTCAGAATGGTTGCCATGTCTGACAAGAAAGGCGATGACTCCTTGCATCATCCAGTATTGATGCTCCGCAATTGTGCTAGAGCCTCTGCCCGATGTACAGATTGAAGATGATTCAAGTCTTTTTCTGCGGTCATCTAATGTTGTAGCGGGAATTCAGATGAAATCCTCTTCTCAACAAAAACATGCACAATAATCTCAAACTATCATCGCAGAAACATGAAACAATGATGAGGACATACTCGAGCAAAAAGAGGAATAACACCTCGAACAATCCTCAAAGCATACATCCCAGATTTGGATGAATCATGTTTTGCAGAAACCCCTAACATGAACGGAAAACAAACATATGGTTTCAAGATATTTTTCAAGTTAGGGGTTTGTTAGATATTGTTTCAAGATATGGTTTCAAGTTTCAATGATATTTTTCAAGTTTATCCAGTCTGTGACAGATTCTCATATGTGACATGAATCAATATGTTCATCACAGATTCCCAAAACTTATTTGGTGATTTATAACAATATATGTTTCCCAAATCACAGAAAAATAAAACTTGATATATCTTTATCACAGATTCCCAACATTTCCCAAATCGACATTCTGCTGTTTCATTCCCTGGTCCCAACGGTCCCGGTCAGGAGCCGGCGCCAGCGGTGGTGCCGAAGCTGGCACCTAAGCCTAAGAAGCGTCCGCAGCAGAGTCCGCAACAAGTTGAAGGCAAGGAACTTGGGAAACAGATCCCACCCGTGAAAAATGGGGGATGAATATGTTCATCCACCCTTTTGTTAGTACAGTGTGAATGAAATTTCATCCACTGTTTGTTGGTTAAGGATGGTTTATTATGGTTATATTATTGAATATGTTTGATGGTTAATTGTTATATGTAGATGCTGAAAAAGATCCTAACAGTCAGGGAAACAACTGCTGGGCCGGGATATAACTCTGGAGAAATTGAATCCGATGGAAAGCGCAAGGGGCAGTAAGGCCATCCATGGCCATCCCATACAGGCTAGAAATTTCATGTTATTTCCGTCAAGTGAATGATTACCCTCTGGTAATTTAACAGTTTGCTATTGAAAATGACCATTTATAGTGGATTTTCCCATTGATAGCATGGTGATTTTCTATAGTTATGTTATGTTAGTTTACCAGAGGGTACAATATATTACGAACTATGTCCAGATATTTGACTCATTAAAGGCGACCATTCGACCATCCGTTCAACGTCCTCTTCAAAATGTGGCCAGAAAACAGGTGCCTTGCGCCCGCCAGAGCCGGCGAAGGCCAAGTAAGGGGTCAAAAGACGTGTTTTGTTTCCCCATAGTTTTGGTTTTGAATAGAAAAAACTGGGGGATATGTGGATTTGGGATTTTTCATAGGTTGTGTTGATTGTTTTGAAGCACACTACAAAATCGTGGGCCATTTTGAGAAAGTTTGATGCATCAAACCATGAATTCCACTATGGAAAACCCTCGGGTGATGTCAAAATAGCTACTGTATATGAAAAAGCCATGGCCCATAGAAATAGTTGATTTACCCACTAAAAATGGTGATGTTCCATAGTTATATTATGTAAACGTTTACCAGAGGGTAGATGGACATTCTCCAAGGACAAACTTCAAAATATGTCGAATCAAAGCCTGTTCTGATGATGGCCGTCCGGTAGATTTCCAGCGATTAAGCCTGCCTGCTTGAGGGAAGCTTATACGAAAGCACTCTCCAGATGTTTCGTATATTTGATCATACATCACCGCAGACTAAACTATGATGATATACGGGATACATGATGATGATGATGATGATGATGATGATGATGATGATGATGATGATGATGCTTTGTGAATACTTAGCATATACAACAGCATAATACAACACATGTAACATATGGGTTTGTCTAAAAATGTGGTAGCATTTTGGGGTGTCGACGATTTTCAGACACAGCCGTACGGAGGTGTCCTAAAATGGGGTTACACCCAAAATCATCACATTCATTTTATGTTCAGGTTTTCCACTATAAACCATCCATTTTGGGGTACCTCCAGTTATGGAAACCCCCAGGTGCCAAACGATGCAGCGGCAGAAGCAAAGTGGGCTGCCAAGTGGGATTGGGCATTCGGTGCTGGAAACTAGCACTTTTCACATGTATATATTTGTGATAAGTATTGATAAGTATTGATAAGTATTGATAAGTATTGATAAGTATTGATACGTATTGATAAGTATTGATAAGTATTGATAAGTATTGAGTAAACCTCCAAACCATATACATATTTCAATCTTTATTGGTAAAGCAATACACCTTGTAAATTGTGGATCAGTGCACCAGATTGGAGACCCACAGCTGGCGGCGGCTTTGGCTCTTTCAGGATTTTCGCAGCCGTCCATGTCAAGCCCAGCGATGGTGCTCGCTGATCGCGACAGAAACAACGAGTGGTTTGACTTTGCAAGGTCCTGCCTATCAGACTCCAAATGGGAGATGGCTGCAAACAGACCAGAGGCATCCTTATCTCATCGTACATGTCCCTGGGGTGGCCATTTGATCAGGTTCGACAGCAGGACTGGGGCATGAAATCTAGATGAGGAGATGCCACTCAAACCAGACAGGAAAATGTTTACAGCAACTCTGTGACTTATGTTTTCACCCAATGAAATGATCCAGGCAATGTCTTGTTACAAATGCTTCCAATTCTCCTTGAACATTTGATTACACAAGGACTTTTTTACCTTAAGAATTCAACAGTGACTGTATTTGGTGAACAACATTGAAACAAAACGATCATACAGGCGATTTGAAGACTTCTGAAAACTCTAGATCTTTCTTGGTCACTAGGGTCCAGCACCACTGGGTATCATTGCTCTGCAGGAAACTCTTTATTCAGAATGCTCCTGAAAATCCGCGAGACTTCTTGGTAAGACCTGAAGTGCGCGCCATGTACGAGGTGGGGAGGGATTGGAAATCCCCAAGGAATGGGATGATGATCCACCAGTATCATCCATTATCCACCATGACTCATATTTTCAAGGTGGTTGAACCTACCTTAGGCCGCTCCAAAATTGTTGCGCGTCCAGTCGTCAGAGCCCCTGTGCATAGCGATGGTCCTTGCATGTCGGTCTCAAAACAAATGGCCCGAAGAAACCGACTTGAAAATTGGTTTCAGGACTGTTGCGCCAAGTTGAGGGAAAATGATGTGCCCCTGAAAATCTCCAAGATCAGCCACCCCAGAATGTTGAAAATGCGCAATGTTTCTCGCATTCAACCTACACAGCCTATCTCACGGTCCAGTTTCAATCGAGGGTAGCGAAATCAAAGTTCAATGGCGAGAGACCTTGGCTCCTGGTGAAGCGGTCTTAGAACGAAGCACTTCCATGTGGGTCATGAAGATGGCCTCGGTGTTATTTGGAAACTTCCAAGGGCTGAAGCTCGTGACTTTTCGATTGGCACCTTTTGATGAACATATTGGGGATGGGGCAAAAGTAGGGTGCCCATAGATCCAAGGGTTTATCATGATTTTCACCACAGACATTGCCATTTTGCATTAATTTGATAATTCTGGAGCATACTGCAGCATACTCCATTTTTGGGCAGACCCACTGGTTATTTTGCTGGCAATTTGAATGAAGACGTTGTGCAACCGAGGGTGGGGCTGTCTGGCCCTGAACTACTTGTTTCGCAAGTTAATGATTTTCAAGTGGACCTGGACTTTCTGCAACCCCAAGACCCGGATGAAGATCATAGTTCCCAAAATTCACGCGCACTTCTCCTTGCCTGACATTGTTTACATTGTTTCTGGAATGTTGGAAGTTCTTATCTAGCTAAGATCAGCCTCTTTCCTATTGCCCAGCATTCAGATGTGAGACAAGGAGCAACTTCTTCTACGACAGTTTGCCAACTTTGGCCCGGCATCAGCTTCGTCGGGATTTCCCCGAGTCTGGGGACTGCACCTATGTCGGCCAGGAATGCCTGTTGATTTCTCGCAGGGAACCTGGCGAAAGGTCGCGCTTTCAGGTGGTCTTGGTCTTTCGCACCCCAGAAGATCGCTGGGCACATTGGGCTTGGCCTCTCTACGCGATGATCACAGATATGTATTACAAGGCGATGGTCAGGTTCTTGAACAGACCTGAAGCCCAAGACACTGGCTGCTGAATTAGTGTATGTGCGTGTATATGTGTAAGAACTGATTACATACACTGCAGGTAGAACAGAAGCTGCACTTGATGATCTTCCGACAGTGAACATGTTTGGATTATTCTTCTGTACACGGTTTCCCCTTAGAATCTTAGCATGGAGTTTTGTCTGACCATCCCACGCCCACACAAAATGGACTTGGAAATGTGATCCGCGGTTGACCGAGATGGATGTGCCGTAAAGCTTTCAAAAAGCACAAACAGCATAAACTTTGTTCCTTCAGAAGTATATGTATGCACGCTGATTGTGTTATCGGAGGTCCTCTTTTATCAAGTACAAAATTCAAAAGGCCGTTGACTGCAGTAGCTTTTAGTTTATCGCGTTCCTTTCAACTTTCTGTAAAATGGATAGTTTCAGACAAAACACGACCAGCCATTTGCCATTGGGGCCCCCTAATGGCTTAACTTAACTAAGGACATGCGCGCAACGGACTCCAATTTCTACCTGGTTCTTGCCATGCGAAGCTTCAACCGTGGACCACCGATGATTCCGCATAGGGGCACTGACCCTGCAGAAATCACAATCTCATCTGGTCAGGACATGGGTAACGGTAAGTGCGGTGTAGATGTGAAAATATGTCAGATGATATATAGTTATATAATGTTATATATATAATATGATGAAATATGATGGAAGTATGGTGAAATCCTGGCAAAGATCTTGGTATCGAAGCTCAAAATCGACTCAATTGATTCAAGATCATCCTGGACGATGATCCCCAACGACTCAGACAGATTTTTCACGGCATGTTTGGTGACGTGTCACCAGATTAGATGGGCATATCCACAATATTCCATCATTAGATTAATACGCATTTTATTCCGTTATCATGACATATTCATTGGTTTAAATATAACACAATACAATATGATATAGTAATAATAATTGATAACAATTAATAATCATATTATATATATATATCAGTGATGTATCCATATAAGATATTGAAGAATAGTAATAACAAAATAATGAATAATGATACTATTAATTCATAATTAGCAAGAAGACATTGTAAAAAGTAACAACGATAGTGATACTGACATATATAATATATCATTTAAACATATATTATGTCCAACTATATCACCATAAAATGCTCGGTGGTTCCTTCAAATCCCAATGGATCGCATTTTTGGTTCCAAGATCCGTCCCAGGACATGGGCTTGGCTTCTTGGAGCCGCTTCTGCTCGAGCCGCAAGGCGAATGGCCCTGAAATGGGGAGTTTATATATGGCTAGCTATGTGTGTTTTTTAAAACTCTTAGTTCATAGCATTTCACGTAAAATGTCATATGTATATATATATATATATATATACTATTAATTAAGCATTTCACATAATTTCATATTATTTCTTCTGGTCTCATATCATGTTATAAGTTCATACGATGTCATATCATGTCATATCATTGGATATCGATGATTGCCAATTATTTTTAAAATCATGGGGAACCATGAGGGCTCCTCCCAAAACGATGAAAGATTTCCTGTGACAACTCCAGGGCTTTGTTCTGGCCGAATACCTGAAAGTTTTTGTGGAGAAGTTGGGGTACAACTTGCAGACCTACGAAACCTTGGACAGCTGCAAACTCGTTCCCTACCAGTGTCCTGGATTTCTAGAAGATTTCTTCATTCCAGTGGGTTCCGTGAAAATCATGGTTTATCCACCATGGGGATTCTACTGACATCTACATTGTTAAATCAGTTTTTCGGGACCCCTGAAGCCTTCGTAAAGTCTTCAGGTGTGTGGTGAAACGCAGCGACTGGGAGCAGCTCCGCGAGAGCTTCACCCTAGCCTTCCGGCTACAAAAGGCCGCCTATCGCCGAGCCAACGGGGGCAAAATGGCCCCATCCTTGGTGGAAGATGCAGAAGCACATTGGACAGCCCATGGAAAATATGGAAATGGGTGTCTGGCAGTTTTAAGACAAGTTTCTTGAAAATAATTGTTCATCCCTCCAAAAGTTGTTGATGCATGTTGATGTTCTCCCCTCAAAATCCTCAAAATAGCTTCTCACGTCTTTCAGTTGGTGGAGCAGAGTCGCCAGGTGTTTTCTGAACAGCCAGAGCGAGGCACTGCCTCAGGCTACAATGATCAAGACGGTGGTGCGAAACACCTTCCTGGAGCTTGAAGAAGATTTGGCTGGGAATGATGAGGATGATCGCCCAATGAGGAGGACCAAAAGCGACGCACTGAGTGATGCACTGAGTCTTTGAGGTAGAAAATCATAGGTAATTAATTTAAATCGTTAAACATTCATAGCAAAACTAAGAACATCCTCTTCTGATGGCGCTTTGAGTGCGATGTCCTTGTGTATAGCGTTGCAGGTACAGCACTCCCGGGTTGCTGTTGCTTCGGCATATTTCATGTTCCAGCTGTTCCAGCTGTTCCAGCCGTTCCAGCAATATCATCTCAGCGTCAACAGAAGATGCCAAGAAAAAATCCTGGGCCTTTGCATAGTGTTATAGCCTCCGAATTGCATCCTTTTCAACAGCTTTGCAGTAGGAAGGCTCTACGCGACCCTGTACAGACAAGCGAAGGTCCTTTGCATGAGTTTTTTATCAAGTCCTGAACGCTGATGCTCTGGTAGCTGAGTCGCAGCGACCCAACTCAGAGCGTTGAAACAGCGACCGGAAACGGCTGTGTTGGTTGATATTTTGAATCTTATATAATAAATGACATATAGCATAGTAAACATATAATATGCAATATATACATGCATCTGCGATGAATCCTTTCTTCTGTAGCAAGTGCATCTAATATGCACATTCATTTGACATATGCATGACACAATATACACATGTCATATTCATATACACATACAAATACGTGTGAAACAATGTCAAATGTCCATATTTGATACTATACAGGTGTTAAACGGACGTCAAACATATGTTAAACAGATGTTAAACAGATGTAAAACAGATGTTAAACAGATGTTAAACAGATGTTAAACATAACATTTTTCTTGTTCTCCAGCAGAGCGTTGTCCGTTGTGTTGTCCGTGAAGCGTTGCCAGGACATCCGCTGGGATCACGGTGGGATCGTCCGAGATGGTACAGGAGGCGGTTGGCTTGGATGAATCATGGTGGCGACGTTGGACACCAAGGATTGGGGATAACACATGGAATATCATGGAATATCATGGAATATATATACATATTTACAGGTAACAAACATCTATATACATATTATGACTAATTGACTAATTGACTGACCATTTATGACCAATACTAGTGATATATCGGTTTGCCACCCCTAAAATCCACCAGGCAACACACATGTCCTCAATTCCATTGGCAGATTATTTTCTCGTCAAATTGAATTTTGGAGGTACCTTATTCTGCTTATTGAATCCTTGTGTGATGTCGTACAGCAGTTACACAATGTGGTAAATGTCCCAAGTAGGGGAGTAGACAAGAAGCAGCTGGGTAGACAGGGTCACTGCAGCCAGGTGCAGGTTAGTCAGCCCCTGAGAGGGAAGTTCCGGCAGTCAAGATCGGTGTAATGAATCCCATCCCCTTAACATTAAACACATCCTAAATGGTGCCTAATATGTGTATATCCCCACTGAACAATGGTTTCTGGGGGTGTTTGAGGGGGATGGGATTATAGGGATACTTATGGGGTTCACGAATTACAGTGCCTATGGTGCTTGGGAATTACAGTGCCTATGGTGCTTGGGGACTATTATGATCTACGACCCATGATGGGAACCCTTAAAGGATGGCTGTGTTGATTGTTGCATGTGTAATGGAGCAATACCAGACTGCAGAAGGAAAGCCTAAAGTTAACATGATCCATGAGGTTTTACAAATCGTAGCTTTGTCCATCTATTTCAGGTACCCATCGGGTACCCCAACATTGCCATCAAATCATGGAGGCTCCCCCAAGCCTCAGGATTGGATGAGTCAACGTTGCTGGGAGCAGAGCCAGGCGCAAAAAAAGGAACCTCCGTGGTCGATTTGAGGAGTTGTCTACGACTACGATTACCGAATCTTGGGATTTAAAGATCATTCGGCAAAGTTGTTGAGCATCCAAAAGTTGATTTATACTATTTGGTCGGGATTTAACAATTTTAGCATCATTCCCTTGCCGATGTTAAAGTTCGTTTATTGAACACATGATGTTTGTGTAATTGTGTATATGTGTATAGTATCTATATATATATATATAATATACGGTGGATGCGTGGGTGTCTCTGAAAATGGGGCATTCAATGTCATTTCAATGGGGAAGATGATGACATTCTTCTTTATCAGACAAGCCCATCTATTGTACGCAATATAAAAAAAAAACGTATTGGTACTATCAGCCTACAGTTATCTACTTTCATTGCTGCCAATATTTTTGTTGGCCATGTTTTTTGAGCCTTGGGGCGTCTACAGGCAGGGCTCCAGTGTCGGTTGGGAACCCATCGCCAGGTTGGGAAAGGGAGAGGCTGATTGCAAGGAGCCTTTTGTCGCGAGGTGACGCAGATGGGATCATATGGGATCAAATGGGATCCTCCCTGATGCAGCTGGTCATTTTTTTCAGCTGCTTATTCTGAATGCTATTGATAGGTCTGATAGGTGTGCTATATTTCCAGCTGAGGTTCTGAGTTCTCCGTTTGTAGAAATTGATGGCTGACATCATAAATTTCCTGAAAAAAATGGCCACACGTTGGTTTGTCTGAAGATAGGGCACTTAAAAACAATTTGAATGGACTATCAACATGTCATTAAAACCAAATAACCAAGGGTATAGCCATGATAGGGCATGATATACAAATGGTATAGCCATTTAAAAGTGCCATTGAACCATGGCTATCCCGTGGTTTTTTTTTGTTCGACGGCCAGGTTTCCGTCCGACGGATCCGGAAAGTCACGATGAGGCCGAGGCGCCAGCTACCCTCTGGAAAATCCACCCATGCTATCAGTGGGTAAATCCACTATTTCGACTGGGCCATTTTCAATAGCTATGTTAAATAAACCAGAGGGTAAACACTGAGTTGAATATTGGGTTATATTGGGTTTAAGAAAGAACTGAGTTGAAGATTTCTGATTGAGTTGAATACTCATTGACTCACTGAGCTGTCTTGCGTTGAATTTTAGATGGTTTAAAACTGGCTACAGTTGAAGACTGGGTGGGGTGAAGACCGGGCGGCAGGTAGAAGAACTACTTGAGGACAGCGTGAGGGTACAATGGGTTACACACCACAAGAGCAACGCTTTGATGATCCATATGCCATGAACATCCAACTGTAGAGTCACTTGTGGTAAAGATAATGATGATACTGTAATCCAAGTAATTGATCTAATGATTATTTATTTGTTTGCCTACTTATCTAGTGACATATTTGAAATCTATTGATGTGGTTCATATCATTCATATTTGGGGAAACTCAGGATAGAAGACCAGGTTGCTTTTGTTTGCAATCTGAGTTTACTTCCCTCTGTACATTTGGAAGTGATGATATAAAAATCTGTGGAATGCGTCCAGCGGGCAATGACCATTGGAGGAGTGTAGACCTTGCAGACAAACTGATGCATGGGGCTTCTGACTTCGTCACATTTCGTCACGTTTGGCTTGTAGCTGTGCATAGACTCCATAGACCTTCAGACAATCAACAATGAGTTGTTTGTAGGTCACAGAGGCTTGATATTTTGGCAGAAGCATGTAAGCCTCTTGTCGAACCAAACCTCTTTTCTGATAATGCTCTCACTCTTCCAGGGCTTCTCCTTTACATCAGATTGCCTCAACATGACCTGAACATCCCCCGGAAGCGAGTGCTTGGCGTTGGCGTGGTGCCATGGCAAGCCTCGGTACTCAGATGAAGATGGCGTCCCTTGGAGGAAGTCCCATGGTCCCATGATATACTCATCACTTTTCCTGTCATGGCGGGGTACACTGCAGAAAAACACCACCATAAAATGTGGGATATTTTGGGACCCAAGCGAAGCTGGGATCCAGCACTTCAAGATACACAAGATTTTTTGATGTTTGTTGATATCGTGCCTATATTCGCATCAAGTGCTCACAGACACAAGACTGTCTGACGTGTGCAAAGAGGAAAGACAACTTTATACCTTCTTGTCACACAAAGGACCCTTCAGCCTTGCAGCTGGCAACAAGGACATGGCACTGTACAATTCAAGGACATAGCATGGTACACGTATGAAGCATGGCCTGGCAGCCGAACAGCTCTGTTGATGCAATGTCATTTTCTGATATTTCCCGAGAGCGTTTGAGCGAAGGGTTCTTCGAATAGTGGGGGTCTGTCAAACATTTTCACATCTTCACATCTTCTCATCCTCACATCCTCACATCTTCACATCCTCACATCTTCACATCTTCTCATTTTCACATATTCTCATCTTCACATCTTCTCATCTTCACATCTTCTCATCTTCACATCTTCTCATCTTCACATATTCTCATCTTCACATCCTCACATCTTCACATCTTCTCATCTTCACATCCTCACATCTTCACATCTTCTCATCTTCACATCTTATCACCTTCACATCTTCACATCCTCACATCCTCACATCCTCACATCTTCACATCCTCACATCCTCACATCCTCACATCTTCACATCTTCTCATCTTCACATCACATCTTCACGTCTTCACATCTTCACATTCTCTCTTGCCCTCTTGCCCTCTTGCTCTCTTGCCCTCTTCTTTTTCCTTCTTTTCTATTTCTCTCTTAAGGCGCGGGGCAGTGCCAACGAGACGGCACGAAACGCAACCCTTTCGCACGAAACGAGGTTCGATCGGCAAAAACTGAAGTGAAATTGCGAGTTTACAACCTCGGCGGCAACCCTTTCGCACGAAACGAGCTTCGATCGTCAAAAAATGCCGTGAAATTGCGATTTTGAGTGTGCCGCGATAACCCTTTCGCACGAAACGAGCTTCGATCGCCAAAAACTGAGGTCAGGTGAAATTGCGCTTTTGAAGTGTCGGTCGCAGCAATTCGCAACCCTTTCGCACGAAATGAAGTTCGATCGTCGAAAAGTGAGGTAACATTTTGTAAAATTGCGATTTTGAGGTGTCCGCGACAACATTTTCGAACGAACGAGCTTCGATCGCCAAAAACTGAGGTCAGGTGAAATTGCGCTTTTGCAAATTTGAGTGTGCCGCGACAACCCTTTCGCACGAAACGAGGTTCGATCGTCGAAAAGTGAGGTAAAATTGTGATTTGGAGTGTGCCGCGACAACCCTTTCGCACGAA